CCTGGTCCTCCTCCTCCACCTCCTCCTCCTCCTCGTCCTCCTCCTCCTCGTCCCCCAGCGTTTCTTCTCAGGATCTGCCGCGCGCCAGCCCAGCGCGGCCCTCGGGGGGTGGACCCTCCAAGGCTCGAGGGTCGACCCAGGCCGCGGACCTTTGACGATCCGCCTTTCTCTCCACCAGGGTCCTCTTCCTGCGTTTCGGCCTCCAGGGAGGAGCAGGAGGAGGAGGAGGAGAAGGAGGACGAGGAGGAGGAGAGGGAGGGAGAGGAAGAAGAGGAGGAGTGGGAGGGGGAGGGGGAGGGGGTGGGGGTGGGGGAGGAGGAGGAGGAGGAGGAGGAGGAGGAGGAGGAGGAGGAGGAACAGGGCCGCTCTGGGGGCCCCCGGGACCGTCAACATCTTGTCCAGGACGCCTGATTGGTCATTGCTTCAGCAGTGAAAGAAGCCAGAGACCCTCTGTGCGACGAAAGCTCTGCAGAGGCAAGATGCGTCGTTCACGGGATTCCTGTCGGCGGTGATAAAGGGGCAAAGTGGTCCGTAAAAAGTTGCATCCTTGATGTGATCCTTGTGTAAACAGTTGTATACAGGACGCAGAACCACTCCTCGGGAAGGGGTCGGTGAGAAAACAGACATTGGTCCGGGATGGATTGGGAGTTCTGGGGACGCGGATTCAAGAACCGTGTCGGAGGATGTTTGGGAAGCTGCGAGGTTTCCGTCCCTTGCCTTCCAGACATGTCGGTGGTTGGCTTGGGGCCCTGGGGCTGTGGAAGGACTTGAGATCCGACGACGCGAAACAAAGTCACAGTCGCGAATAGTCACGGCCGGAGTCCAAGACCCCTAATTAGACCCAATGTTTCTGCTGCATTTTTCGAGCCAGATCGATCTGCGAGGGTCAAGGGGCCCGCAATTGCGGGAAAGCACCGAGCAAGGGAAAGTTGCCCCGCCTGGATTTGAGGGCAGATCCAGCGTCAGGAGCGAAACAAGGGACGCACACGTGCATGACTCTACGTCGGTTGCGAGAGTGCGCCCTGCACCAGCGTTCGTATCGCGAGGCTGGTCTCGCGAAGTGGGGGGGCCGTGTTCATGCACGTGGTCGGACGCGCACGCCCTCTGTGGGCCCCCCTACAGGGACCAGCGCATCGAAGCGCCGAAGCGCTGGGTGCCCGGGCTCCCGGCGCCTTCTCGGCCCCCCCGCGGCGGCGCGCTCGCACTCCGAGGTGCTGGCCAGGCCGCGCCCGCGGGCCCGTCCGGGGATCGGCCGTCGCCGTCGCCGGCGTTGCCCCCTCCGAGCTGACGTAACGATCTCAGCATCGTACATCAAATCGACGGGAGCCTCGGGCCCCATCTTTCTGAAAAACCCGTTTCGAGCTGAGTCGATCTGTCTGCGATGGTCCCTGGGCCTGAGATAGGGCGAAACCGCCTGGTGTGCAGAAGTTGCGATGCCAGAGTCTCAGGGGTTGTCGCCGTCGCCGTCGCCGGCGGCGTCGTCGTCGTCATCGGCGGCGGCGCGAGGAGGAGCTCTGCGCAGAGGCCGTCCTGTGCGTGGTGGTGGACGCCAAGTCCGGGGCCGTCATCGGCCAGCACAAGCTGGGAAGGCGCCGTCCCCGGACCCTCGGCGACCCTCTGAGGTCAATACTGGGCTGGAGCGGGCTATGGGGGTCTGAGGTGGCCCGGCACTGGCTCCCCGACGAGCAGGAATCAGGAGGGAAGAACACACACAGACAACATTAATTGTCGATTTCCCACCAAATATGGGAAAACATGGGAAGTGGGGGGGAAGACAAAAACCCAGGAAATATGGGAAAATATGGGGAATCTGTTTATTTGTGTGTATTTATTTGTGTGTCCTGGGGCCCCTTCAAGGAAGGGGGGGGGGGGGGAGCGAGGCTCGAGGTTCTGGGCTCGAGCAGGCTGTTTTTTTTCTCAGGCTCCCGGGGCCGCTTGCGGGCCCCGGGGCCGTCAACAATGCGGAGATCCCGGGGGGAGGTCTCATTGTGTGGATCCCGGGAGAGGCGTCCGAGGTCGGATACGGGGCCAGGAGTACGTCGGGCTTGTCCCCCTGCAGGGGGATCTTCTACGAAAAATAAAAAATACCCCCACAATAGTTTTTTTTTTAAAAAAAAAAGAAAAGAAAAAAATAGTGCAAAAATAGTCAGGGGACTAGTATTTGTTGTCCTGGGGTATTTTTTATCTTTCGTCGAAAATCCCCGTGTAGGGGGACACGCCCGACATAAGGCTAGGACGAGGATAACTCCGTTCCAGAGCGTTCCGGCGCGCTCCCAGAGCGTTCCGGAACGCCCCTGCGAGGGCTGCGGCGCCCGAGACGTCCTCCAGAGCCGCGGGATCTGAGAGGTTCCCGATGTATCCTCACCCGATTGTATCCTCGTCCTGGCTTCGTCTGGATCCAGGGAGCGGCGCGGATTTGCCTTCATCCCCCCTCCTGATCGATTTCCTCGGGGCCCATCCAGTGCAGCCCCCCCCCGGCCGCCTCCAAGCACCCTCACCAGGATCCGCGGCTGCCTCCACCGAGGGGATCTTATCCTGACCTTGGCGAGTTCGTCAGGTGGCCCAGAGACATCACCACTGGCACAGGAGTCCAGGATCATCGTCCCGCCCTGCAGGCAACCCTTTCTGTTGGTGTGGGCGCCACTTTCCAGGCCCCCAAGACTGAGGTTCCTGGACTGGGGATCGAGCTTGTTGGATATATATATATATATATATATAATACATATGAGCAGTTATCGGGACGATTGTAACATAACACTCGGAAACCGAGGAACGCCGCATCCCTACGTAGATCTCTTTGTGGTTCAAAAGGTTTTTCCCTCTTCAGAGAGGGGTGAGGTCCAGGCGCCCCTCCTTCAGCAGGACCTTGCCGCGAGTTTTAGGCGTGACCAGTCTGCTGCATTCCCAGGGTTCACGCGCTCGGGCATGGTGGACGCAGCTGGTGAGGAGGAGGTGCCTGCTGACCTTTCGCTGGGGGAGTCCGAGCCTGCCGCCCTCCGCTTCCCCGTGCAGGTCGGCCGCCCGCATCGCTGCACAACGTTCGTCGCGGAGGTGCAGCCGCAGGGTGAGTACTTCATCCAGGTCGTAGGTGCCTACGCTCCCGACGAGGACGGCCAGCCCGCACGGGCCGAGCAGAGGCCCCGCAGCGAAGGCTGTAGGACCTGGTGGATGGGTCATCCCGTGGAGCGTGAGGGGAGCAGGGCGGCCTCTCTATCACTGTTGCGCGGAGGAGATGTGCCTTGCCACGCTGCGCGCCTCCCGCGGGACGCTCATCGCCGTCTCGATGCTCGAGGAGGTCGACGCTGCGGAGGCGTCGGAGTTCTATCTAGAGTGCCATGCGGTGGACCCCTGGGCCCGCTGGTCCCAGGAGCTCGGGCCCGAGCCTGCAGGAGAGGCGGCGGCTCGCAGGTCATCGGAGGTCGAGCTGGACGGGTTCGGCATGTCGCTCGACGGCGGAGTGGTTCAGGACACGGCTGCCCTGACCTCAGGCCCGCGCCCCAAGGGGGCGCCAGCGCGCGGCGGCGGCCGCCAGCCCGCTGCCCTGCAGGCCTCGCCGCTGGAGGAGGCAGGCGCCCGCCTGTCCGCCGTTGCGCCCCCTGCGCGCGAGGCAGGGCCGACAAGAGGCACGCGCCCGAGGTGTCAGCAGAAGCGGCGGCGAGTGCCGCGGGCGGCAGCGCTGGGGCGAGGGTTGAGGGACCTCCTCTCCAACTGTTGCTTGAGGCGGCGGCCAACAGGAGCAGCCCTGGTGACGTGCGGCAGTCAGTCCTCAGTGGCGCCAGCGCCAGTGGTGATGGGGCAGTCCCGCGAGGTCACGCCATTCGTCGAGGTCACTTTCGCCAGATTGCCGCGGAGTTCCCTCTGCCTCTCTCTGAGCAGGCGCTGGCCAAGATGAGTGAGTATATCACCAAGCAGGATGGTGAGAAGGCGGGGGAGGATTCTCCGTCTATCTTCATGAAGTACTTTCTGAATGTCCCCGTCCCTCAGACTTCCATCAAGTCGATCGGGATGGAGGTCTACCGCGAGATGAGGACAGGCTGCGAGGCCGCAGACGCCATCCCTTCGGGCAAGACGGCCTACGCCATTGACGGGCTGGGTCCACGGTTCAAGGCACTTCAGCTTTCCGCTATCGACAAGTGTTGGTCGGGTATTCGCTGGCTGGGGCTCATCCCGCCCATGAACGAGCAGCCTGCGTTCAGAACAGAGGATGAGGAGATCGCGCGCACCGTCGAGCTGGGCGATTTGCGCCTAGAGGAGCTGCTGTCCGAGCTCAAGCAGGGCTGGGAGACAGGCCGGGAGAGGGAGCCGCCTAGGAGCAACTCCCCTCCTGTAGGCCACACTGGCGGGAGCCGAGGCAAGGCGGCCCACCAGCTGCCATGGCCTCGGACGCTTGCGGGCCTCGTCGAGGGCCCACCGCGACCAGCAGCACCACCAGCAGCAGCCCGCCGCCCTACACCAGAGCCGCAGCGGATTGCGCAGCTGCGCGAGGACTTTTCGAAGGGGGGCGATGCCGAAGGAGGTCTCCTGGATGCTCGTCGAGGACGCCCACCCGAAGAAGCAGGGTGTGACGCGGGGGGCCTACGGCATGCGCCTCAGGGAGCTCATGCAGGAGGCTCGCGGGCGGCGGGTCTGACCCGCGAGGTAGGCCACGAGGCAGCGCCGAACATCGACGCGCAGCCTCGCTGGACTGAACACTTGCCAGTCTGCACTGACTTGACCGCGTGGAGGGCAACTGTGTGTTGAGCTGTACCCGCCACGCCGTCGTCACCTTACAGTGGCAGCACCCAGGCCGCCTTGGAGAGTTTCGCTGTGAGTTTCGTCCACACCTTCCCACGACTGGAGGGCCGCAGGTAAGGGCGCGTGACCTGTTGCCGATGGCCCTCCACGACCTTACGTTCACACGAGCTGGGGTCGCATTTCAGGACGGATCGAGAAGGAAGCGTCAGAGGTTCAGAATGAGGGGCGTTTAGTCGCCAGAGGATTTTGGTCATACATAGTGGTGCTGTCTCTCGATTTCGATTACGTTGGTCGAGGTGAACTTCGCCTGCGGAGGCACTCGCCAGTGCTGCGTCCTGCCCAGCGGTCCGCCTACAAGACCGTCATCTCCCACGTCGACGGCTTCTGGGATGACCCACTGACTCGTCTAACGACACCGACTGGTCCCAGAAGGTCAACAAGTTAGGGCGACTGCACTGGGGAGGAGCAGGTCGAGGCCGTGCCTATCAAGCTAGCGGAGCCTATACCAGGCCTTCCCGACCAACAGCATGATGCGCAGCTTCAGACGGGGGAGTCTGTTGACGGGCACATCCTGGAGTCGCTCATGGATGAGGTTGCCCCGCTGCCTCAGGCGGACTGGCCGCTGCACCCTCCTCGCGCCCGGGTCAATTGCGCGAGGCTCGAGGACTGGTACGAGGTCGCAGAACACTTGGCTGGCCTCAGCATCTTGGGCGTGGTCGACGAGGCGGACATGCTTGCGCAGCGGGCCCAGGAGATCTTCAACGGCCTAGTCGCTCGCGAGAGGCGGGCCAAGACACTCGAGGCCTTGTCGAGATGCACGCGCCTGATCTCCAACATGATACCCTCCAACGCCTACCTCTGCAACACTGTTGAGGATACGTCGGCTTTGGCGGCCTCCACCACATGGACCTGCCTCCACTTGCCAGTAGGAGGCGTCATGGTGCGCAGCAGCGACGACCAGGAGGGCGCGCTTTATGTCTGGAAGCTGCCGCCAATCTGGTATAGCAGAATGGCCGTCGCGGTGCCCCGTGCCAGCGAGCTCTGGGGGGGTTGTCAAGGGGCCGCCTGGGCTACGTGGCGGTCCGCGTCATCCCCATGGGCTGGGTACTCGCAGTCGGCCTCTTCCAGCACCTGCATTGCCGCGTGGCCCTGCGAGCGCCGCGCATAGGGGCTGGCTTGCCTGCAGAGGCAGAGTGGACGCGCATTTAGCCCTGGCCGCTAGCGAGGCAGCATCCTCATGCGTTGGGCAGGTCTACATCGATGATCTTGATGCGCCCGAGGTCCTTGAGGCGGCAGAGGCGTACGGGCCGTGGGCACCCCAGGCGAGATGCGGCTCGCCATGCGGCGCGCCTACGCCCAGGCAGAGGTCGCCTACGCGGAGGGGTGAAGCCATGCGCGGCAGCTTCAGCTCGAGAGGATGGGGGTGTCCATCGACGGCTGCGTGGGTGCGATCAGGGCCCCTGCTAATAAGGTGACAGCTGTTCCGCTACATCGTGTACGCCCTGGGCCGCGATTACTGCCCATGGCCGCTCATGCCCACGCTGCTGGGCCGTGCCGTTCAGGCCCTGGAGTTCAAGCGGCCGCTCTTGAGCTGCCGCAACTTGGTCTGGGAGTCCTCCGTCAGGACGAGAGGTAAGCGCATCAACATGGGCATAAGCCAGGAGCTGCTCGTGTGCAGGGGGCACCTGTCCGTTGCGGGCACCGACCTCAGGGCCGCGCCGTCGCCAGTCGCCACCGCCTCGGATGCCTCGGGGGCTGGAGGTGGAGTGCGCGGCCCCACTGGCCTCACACCCGTGGCAGTGCAGCAGCCCAGGGCCGCCCGCCAGGGAGCTAGGCCGTGCTGGGGCCAGGCCGCGGCGACCTGCAGCCCGCACGCAGCTCCCCGTTGCTACCAGGTGGGCGGCCGCGGCCCAGGGTGCTCATCGTGAGCCTCCTCAACGGCCTCGCCGCGCTGAGTGTGGCAATGTCCAGGCTGCCAGTCGACATCATCGGCGTCGTGTGCAGGAGGTTGACGAGCCTGCTAGACGAGTTGCTACTCAGATGGCCTGGAACCGCAGATTGGGGAGATATCCGATCGTCTCCGAGGCGGACGTCGCTAAGCTGGCTGACACCTACTACAGCCTGTGCGACGTCTGCGTCCGTGGAGCAGGCAGCCCTGGGCAGGGCCTCAGCGCAGTCAGTTTGCCGCGGGCAGGCCTGGGGGGCCCCAGCTCGAGGCTCCTCTATGAGATCCCACGGGTCCACGGTCATCTTCGTAAGCACTACGAGGAGAAGCTGGCCACCTTCGCTGGGGAACGTTGCCCCTGTGAGTCTGCAAGTGAGAGATGCTACCGCGAAGGAGCTTGGAGCACCGCCAGGCGAGCTATGCCCAGCTATATTTGTTCCTGCCCGTCGACCGCCTTACGACTGGCGCAGTTGGCCTGTGCAGACTCGCGGGGAATCCGCAGTCGAGGAGCGGCGCCAGCCCAGAGGGTCACACTCAATCGTGGGCCGGGTCTGCAATCACGTCGCCCCTCTCCCGTGGGTCGCCGCTGGCTGGACCGGGGGAGGCGGCGCTGCTCCAATGCCGATGCTGTGTGCCCGCGGCCAGCCTCAAGTATTGCTGGGATTCGACAGGCATTACACAAAGGTCGTCCACAAGACCCTGAGGCCCAAGGGGTTGCTGACACGAGGAGCTTTCTCTTGGGCCCCTCTTACTCAGCGGATTCGGTCTCCTGGCTCCCCCAGCAGCGGTTCCTGGTTCGAGGACTCCTTGCTCGGGGGCTACCTGCTGAGGCTCTGTTCGCGCAGGGGTCGCGCCCGCAGGTCTGGGGTGAGATCGGCGCCTGCCCGAAGGGCACAGCCGAGTACGACAAGAAACTGGCATCAGAATTCGCAGGCGAGTTCCTTGCACTAAGTGATCGCAGTGGGAGCGACATTCGTCTAGCCGTGGGCCTGCTCTACCGACCCAAGGCGGGGCCGCGGGCGAGAATCGTGGTCTCACTGAGGTGGCAAGGTAGCATTGACCTCCACACTCACGCCCGCGAGCTGCAGGCATAGTAGCAGTCCTGCTTTGGAGGACTCGCTCCACAGAGCACCTCAGCGCCAGGTTTGTCCACCTGCTTGACTCGCAGGCTGGCAGCGATCACTACGATGGAGCGGTCGGCCAGCACCAAGCTGCAATGGCTCCTGCGCCAGTGGGCCGCCCCCTGTGCGGCGGGAGGCCTCTACCCCATCGTCGAGTACATCAGGGCCGCTGGACACCGACGGGGGCATCGCCGCGTACACAGAGATGCTCTGGAGCGAAGGCCAGCCCGTTAGCATTGCCAACTCTGCTGTCGCTGCGGTGGTCCTCTTCTTTCCCCTCAATCAAACAGAGCTGGCCAGGGGTTGTCATGGAGTCTGCTCAAGGCTTGGAGCAACGTGAACCGCCTGTTCTCGCTCTGCCACTCACGCCAGAGCTCATCCTGGGAATAGCCGCCCTCGCCATCGAGTGCGACGCTGTGGACATCAGCACCCTCCTCGCATTAGGTTTCGCAGGTCTTTTCCCCACAACAGAGGGGTTCACATTGTCCAAGCAGCAGGCTGCAATCATCAATGACGGAGTCAGGGTCCATTTGCCTGAGACCAAGACAGAGCACCGCAAGGCCACCATTGATATAGTCGTTGTCGGCCGCCCCATCGCAGTGGATCTGGTCAAGCGCTGGTAGTGCACGCAGCGCTTTCTGACACGCACAGCACACGATCGCCAGCACGGCTTCGCAGTTGCGGGAGAAAAAGTTGCCGACTTCTTTCACCTTGAGAATTTCCGCTTCTCTAGTATCTATGCCGTCGTGGTGGTGCCGCGCACGACTTCATGCCGCATCAGACTATGGAGACAACGATCATGAAAGGCAGATGAAGTTCACAATGACCGCAAAGATTCACATTGTGCAAGCAGTTGCAGGCATAGTCCAAGTCACTCCTGCTCCCAATGACCGCAGGTTGATCCAGCACTTTGCGCGTGGTCTTGTCAGTTGAAAGTTGCAGGAAAAAAGTAAGAACGGATGTGATACGCTATGCAAGAGATCTTGAGACACGACACGTGAGTCCTCCCGTGCCAATTTTGTGAGTCCGTGGAATACCCCCACGCTGTATAGAGGCTAGCCGCCTGTCCGCTCCGATCTAGCCCTCCTCAGGCCTCGGCGTTCCCTCGGGATTCCCTGGGTCGTGCTTCCTGGACTGGAGTCTGTCCGATTCTCCTCGGGCCTCGACCTTGGGGTATCCTGTAATGAGATTCCTTGGGTGTCCTCGGGGCTGCCTGGAGGTCTCCTGAGGTGTTGGGGGTAGGTCTCCAGCGGTGAGGGGCCTGGCGCATGCCTCTCCAGCTGGTGGTTGCTAGCGACGCTAGCCACAGACCCCTTGGCGTGGGAAGGTAAGAGAAAGGGTTATGAGCAGTTATCGGGACGATTGTAACATAACACTCGGAAGCCGAGGAACGCCGCATCCCTACGTAGATCTCTTTGTGGTTCCCGCCCGCGCCACCCTATAGTAGTGCAAGGCCTACTTCGTGGATGCGAGGTGATTTACCCCCACGCTGTATAGAGGCTAGCCGCCT